GTACCTTGGGTACATATCTGTAGTACCTGATACGACAACGACCCCTTCAGCCTTAATATGTGCAGATAACGATTGTAACATATCTCGCGCAACATTTTCAGTTAGCGATCATTGGAACAAGAAGTGTGCAATAGAATGGCGTCTTCTGCTACAGAGAAATACTATGAGTATATTGTGGTTGGCTGTGGTGGTATTGGAAGTGCAACTCTATACTGGCTGTCTACTTGTAAAGGAGTTGGTGAGTTTAACAATTTTTATTTATTTAAAAATTTCACCACCAGCAGATTACCAGGTAAACTGTCAGAGCCGATTTATTAATATAGCCTAGTAGGCAGATGGGGTTCCCATGTAAGAATGTAAGAGCCCCTCACAGTTCGGAAGGGATGATTTATAATAGAGAATTATAATGAAATTATAATAAAGATTAAATTGGTTACAACCCAAAAACGTCACTTGTTTGTGAGTAAAATAACAACGCATGAAATGAAATATAAGAACTAAAAACAAAACTTGATTGAAAATTGCGCATTTTATTCTTGATAATTATTCATAGTGTGTATTCATTATTTTCAGATGTCTTGGGGCTAGAACAATTTAAACTAGGTCATGATAATGGTGGATCACAAGATTACTCTCGTATAATGTAAGCATTTATAAAATGTCTATATACGTACATGACTACTATTTACTTAATCGTCAATTTCACTGCTGGTTTGAACTGGTTTATAAAAGTACATCACAAGTGCAAGGGGACTTTCATTTAAACGATTAGAGGTAAATAGTCAGCATTGTCAGCAGTTTGATTTATGGCTAAAGCACGTGTATACAGGTAAAGTAATTGATACAATTACTTGCTGAATCGTGCATACTTGTCCTTATAGTCGAATGATGTACCATGACACCAAGTATACGAAACTTGTGAAGGAAGCTTATAAATGGTATGTTGGAAATCATCAAATTCACGTAGTTAATTATTGCTAACGATAGTAAAATAATACTGCATGAATAGAATCATACAAGTGATTATCAAAGACAGGGCACGAAGGTACACAGACCTTTTTTCGAAGTGAAATTTGACTGTTTAAAATTTAAAGTGAAAATTAATGTGAAAATTGAAGTGAAATTTGTTGTTTAAGTGCATTTAACAAATACCATCCACAGCAAAGTGGTTATCTAACTGACGTGGCGAGTTAAACATTGTTTGTTCGCCTGAAGCTGGGAGGAGGTGGAGGCCGAATCTGGCCTGCAGATCCTTTATAAGACCGGCGGTGTGCAGTTTGCCGTGAAGGGCACGCCTGGAGAATCTGGTCTCGAGAAGTATGCAGCTGCCTCAAAAGCAGAACATATCGCGTAAGTCTCCAAATATAATCGCCGTTCTCACTGAGCGAGGTGCTATGTGTGCGGCGAGTAACACCGTTTATTATATGCCCCTGTCGGCGCACAACGCGGTGAAACACGCAATGGTTCATAATGTGTTCGTGCGTGTGCGCGTGTGCGTGCGTGCGTGCGTGCGTGCGTGCGTGCGTGCGTGCGTGCGTGTTTGTATTGTTAGTATCACGAGTAGAAAAATGGTTAGTGTCGTCTCTAGGCGCAAGTTTCGAGCTGGGCTTCTATATCTCTGTAACTTCCAAAAATTGCAGCCCCCTATAGCGTAGACAGTCGTGCACTGATATATAGCGGTTGTGTAACGAGACGTCGGCTTTTATCATCTCGATATGCCGTCGACAGTTTGTGTCCTAAAAACTTCTGCTTCTGTCCATAGAGTGTGTGAGTGGTTATAGCTTCATTAGGAATCCTGCAGGTTTGAGAGGGTCTCTGGACAGCAGATAGCCGCACGATTTCCTGGCTTTGCGATGAGTTCGGACGTGGTGGGCTTATACGAGCCGACAGCTGGCCTCGTGGATGCTGCCGTCGGCAATGCCACCCACATACAGCTAGCGCAGGCACACGGGGCAACGGTGATTGATTCCTGCCCCGTGCTGAAGATCGACACGCTGCCTTCTGGCGAGGCAAAGGTGCGGCTATACCTGAATAACCAATTCATACAACGTGAGGAAATGTGGTCGCATAACAACAATATAATAGTATAGAGCGCTATGCGCTTTGTTGCCGTGAAAATTAATTGCAAATTTTAAATCTTGCTGTGCCTAAGCGTTTGTAGTAGGCTATATTTGGAGTTAGATTACGATGTTAAACAGTTGCTCGCAAGGTGAGTTAAACCAATAATAATATTTGAAAATCTCAGGGGATCCAGAGGTCAATACAGTTTGAGGCATACTTTAGTATTAAATTTATAAATTACAAATGTAGAGATGGCTACATAATTTGTCAGTGCCGCTTCTACTTCACAGAGAAACGAGACAGTTTATAACCTACTTACTCTTGTAACAGGTGTTCACCACCAGGGGGCAGTTCCGTTGCAGACGAGTTATCATTACTGCTGGTGCATGGATCAACAACGTTCTTGGCACTGTTGGCATTCACATTCCCGTCTCTGTGACCCAGGAGCAAGTCACCTACTTTGCTACGCCCAATATGAAACTGTACACAAAGAGCCAGTTAGTAGTTCAGTCTTCTTTCTGATTGCTGAGCACCGCCATGGTAGATGGTGCATGTAGACATTTTCTCGTTGACCTTGGCCTGTGCTTTTCTCACTTGAAAGTTATGCATTTAGAGGTGCATATATTTTTAGATCACTTTTAACTTTAATTGTTCTTGCCAAATCTTGGATCCGAGTAAGGATAATAGCGAATAGATTTACTTAGCGGTCACGCTGTATGTATGGCGAATTTATGCAGGAAGAATTTCACTGCCGGGCCTAATTACTTACTGTCGTAACAATGAACAATCGGTGCAAAACTACCGAATGCAGGTTTCCTATATTCATATATATCGGCGAGAAAGACGTGTACGGCATACCGATTCACGGCAACACTGGCATGAAGGTAGGTCTCGATGCTGATGGACCAACAGTCAGCGCAGAAACCAGATCCTTTACTCCCGACGCGAAACGTGAGCAGACGTGTCTGGACTTCGTGCGCAGATTCATGCCGAAGGTAGGCTGTATACTCATTACAGCTTGTGCTTGAAGAAATACACTGCTAGCTGTCCCTTGTGTGAAAATGTTTGGATGAGTGGTTTGCTTCAATTTACTGTCGTTGTGCATCATTACAAAAAGGCAGTACCAAGCAGGTTTAATTAGTTTATATTGTTCACGTGTGACTTGGAAACGAAGAAGAAAATTACGGTTTATAAGCGACTTCCTAATCCTCACAATGATTGCATCTGGTTTACATATATAGGCAGAGGGTCCCATGCTATATAGCAAGACATGTCTGTACACCATGACGCGTGACCGACACTTTGTGGTTGACACCCTAGCAAGAGAGGGGAGGCATCAAATAGTAGTGTGTTGTGGAGCTGGGCACGCTTATAAGTAAGTTGTTCTCCATCTCGTAGCACAGTTGGAATTCACAGAAATTTCGTTACACGTGTAACTTAACTTTAGCAAGTTAAACCCCTCATCACAGTTGTACAATGTTGTATATGATTTAAGGTAATACCCATTATAAGGAATCTTGACTTGTTTTACGGTATAGCGGACGCGCTTGTTTATTTCTACAATTATTTCACAATTGCGACTCTCATTCGAAGCGGTCACTGCAATTAACACAAACTTCGTTATAAAACAAATTAAAACACTGCAGTTACACAAAGCTAAACAATCGCTTAACTGCCGACAGTATCAATCTAAAACCTTAAATAATACATATTTCATACCTTTACTGGCAACACAAGTCCCAATCCTTTTAAACGCACACTCAGACGTCGAATTTCAGCGAGAGAAAACACTATATACACACACACATATATATATATATATCAAGAGCTAATAATACCCAGAGTGTACAACGGAAAAACGGGAAAATAGTGCTATTTCACGACTACATTATTCTACTTTGCCTGCGAGTCTAGAATAATTTCATGGTATTGCATTAAGCAGAATTCCTTGCTCTCTACAACAAGACCAACCGCTTGTCAATACGATACTCCTAGGCTGAGATATCGGCTCCTAAACCTCCCCTCCCACATCCCTAACGCCGCTTCGAATCCACTTCTGCCAGCATCCTACACGCGGGTAAGCATTTTGGCTATCGGTTTCCGTCACCACTTGGAGCGCTGATAATTGATGTCATATGCCCAAATTTGTTACTGTTACTACACTTAGTAACTGAGCTGCGTTGTAAAAACTTGATGGAGCCGGATCCATCATGACGGGCGTTAGCCGTGCTAGGAAAGATAATGGAAGATAAGGGCATAGGCGATGCCCCCGAATGTCACCTATGATAACCGAAGCACCGTCCATTCATAAATTTATCAAGCGTTGCTTCGTGAAAGTTCGGTTTTTCCGCAGCCGCGTGTAGGATGGTGGCAGAAGTGGATTCGAGGTGGCGTTTGGCATGTGGGAGGGGAGGTTTAGGAGCCGATATCTCCGCCTAGGAGTATCGTATTGACAAGCGGTTGGTCTTGTTTTAGAGAGCAAAGAATTCTGCTTAATGCAATACCATGAAATTATTCCTACTTTGCCTGCGAGTCTAAATAATGTTGTCGTGAAATAGCACTATTTTCCCGTTTTTCCGTTGTACACTCTAGGTATTATTAGCTCTTGATATATATTTATATATTTTCCAGTCCGACATTTCTTCACAGCTGAATCTACTTTGTGACATCCAATAAAACCACCATGCCTTACTTTCCAGAAGTGTTTACTTTTTGACAATCCCAATGCAGTTATGCTGTTTTCATAGCTTGATGTAAACAGCTCTGAACTTATAGTGTACCCGTGTATTGGGATCACTTATAGTTATACCGCATGCAATCGCCTCTTATTGGTTCAATCCCATCACGTGCCCTTCCTCATCTTGCCTGAGACAACATATCCCTTCTAAAATTCTTTGGGAGAACCCTGATTTTGGGTTATTACAGAGAGTGGTCATTAGGAAATGTAAGATATCCAAATTCCCTCTTTGGTTGAGAAGTAAGTCTGATGCTTGGCACTTGTGTAAGAGTGTCACTAATATATGCAGTATTCACTATTTCTATCACTTTTGTGTAATATTTATAGTTGAGGCTATTTAAAATGACAAATTTTGAGGTGTTGCATCTAACTTGACCGAAAAACTAATTTCCATGCAGTTAGTTAAATTCTCTTCTAGTAAGGAACATTATTGCAGCCATTTACAAATTCAGAAGCCCATGCAGTGTGCGCTTAACTGATAATAAATCAGTGTATTACCTTATCTTCTAGGTATAATTGGCAAGAAACATGTCGGTCCAGAGACAGTCTATCCATTTGATTTTGCCCAGACAGAAGAGAATAATTCCATTTTGCAAGTCGGACGAAACATCACTCACATCAAACTGCTTGTGAGGCACTTTCTCAGTGAAGCTGCATCTAGGTATTTTTGATTTAGTAGGCATACATTCTATAATCAAATTTAGACAGAGAGGTTTTTTCAGCATGGTTTTTGTTGCAGTTTTGGACGTTTTTTGTTTTGCATTTTTTGTATAGTTATGTGTTGTACGCTTGTAAATAGGATTTTTGTTTGCCTTTGTTAGTAATAAGTCGTTTGAAGCATGGTGTTAGGCATGCTGATGCACTGTACTGTAAACATACCATTTTTTTGCAGACCATTCTTCTTATATGTAGCATTTCATGACCCACATCGCTGCGGCCACACCAATCCTCAATATGGCCAATTCTGTGAGAAATTTGGGAATGGAGGTTCAGGCATGGGTATCATTGAAGGTGAACAATTGTGTATACGTTATAAGTATGTATGTAATAACACATATTTGGGGCATAGTACATGCACATATAATTACCAGCTGTATTGTAGCAATCGATATGGTAAACTGTCTGGGGTCCTTTTCAGAAACAAAGTTAGTCTTAACATTAACTTTTCCTCATAGACCAGACGTCTATACACTGTGTATGAGAAACTTGTAACTTTACCATGTTTCTGCTGACAGTTTACATGGAAAAGTTCATATTAAGACTAATGTTAAGACTAATTTTGTTTACTAACACAACTTTTTCTTATAGACTGTCAACAGAAACATTGTATAGTTACAAGTTTCTCATACGCAGTGTAAGCAGGTATGGTCTACGAAGAAAATTTGATGTAAAGACTCATGTTAACACCAATTTTGCTTCTAACAATGGGCCCCTGATTGCTATACAGACTGGAAGCCTGTTCAATACAGCCAAGATGAAGTTGTGGTACCATATTTCACCCCGGATACGCCAGCAGCAAGACAAGACATTGCTGCACAGTACACCACAATCAGTAGACTGGATCAAGGTGAGACACGTTCAGTGATTAAGCTAACACAATCATTCATTTATACTACAAGTGCTGTATTCGTGTACGGCACCTGACTCCTACAAAGCGATTGCCTTGTTACAATTATGCTTCGCATTGCATGCAGGTAAAGCGAGAGATGGTTGTAGGCTAAATAAATTTTTACTTGCAAAGTCCGACTCTACGTGAACACTGTTCACCATAACTAAACTACTAAAACCAAATAAAAAACGTTAACAGCACTTCATTTATGCTTTGATGGCACTCATGAGTGAAGTGTCTGCGTGCACCTCGTGGCATATGCAAATTCTGTAGCAAAGCCTTGCAACAGTAAACATAACAAGAATTTTGATTACAGGTATAGGGCTAGTGATGAGTGAACTAGAAATCGCAGGATATTTGGATAACACACTTGTCATCTATACATCAGACAATGGAATTCCATTTCCTAGTGGAAGAACGAATCTTTATGAACCAGGTTAGTCTCGTGATTGGTCAGAGACCTATTCGAATGATCACTGAGAAGTTTTAATAAATGTCTAGTTATAAGCTTATAACCCCTTGATAACCAGTGAAACTGAACTCTAATAAATCAGGAGAGACATATCCATAGACCAGGATATAATTACCTTGAGATAACACCATGAGACTATCCTCTAATAAGCCAGGTCAACGTAACTTCGCTGCCCACAAGCAAAATCCATGTATAGCAATAATGTTCGATTCACGTTCGAAATTTCGTGACAGTGCAAAATTTTATATAAATTGTTTTTTTTTTGGCAGGAATGGCAGTACCTATGATGATATCGTCACCCGTCAATCGCGCGCATTGGGGACAGCGCAGCAGTGTGCTCTCAAGCACTGTTGACATTCTGCCGACTGTACTGGAATGGTTCCGTGTTCCTTATCCCGACTACTACATCTTCAAAAAGGGCAGGAAGGTCGTACTGACTGGAGAGTCTCTCATGCCGCTCCTTCATGGAAGCAGCACGTTCGAGTCACAGTACAGAGTGAAGCGGCTGTCTGAGCGACTGCATGGGCCAAGTCCTTTGGCTGACCCTGTGTGCACTAATGGCTGCGTGTATGCCAGTCATAACTTGCACGAGGTGACGATGTATTATCCAATGCGTGTTCTCAGGCAGGTGCGGTATAAGCTCATACACAACCTGAATTATCACGCGCCGTTTACCATCGATCAAGACTTTTACTTATCGCCAACATTTCAGGATATTCTCAACCGAACAGAGAGAGGGGAACCGACCCAATGGTATAAAACATTAAGGGAGTATTACCATAGGCCTGAGTGGGAGTTATTCGACGTTAGTAACGACACGACAGAGGTACAGAATCTTGCTTACAATGCTGAATTCTCAGCTATTTTCAAACGAATGCAACGTGCACTAAATGTTTGGCAAAACGTGACAGATGACCCATGGATATGCTCACCAGATGGCGTGTTAGAGAACGCTGGAAATTATAAGAAGAAACCACAGTGTATGCCATTACTTGATAAAGTGGTCAATGCAAAGATAGAATTGTAAATACGTTACTGAACAAGCTGTAATGGCATTACCTCCGCCAAGGTGGTTATGTTTTTGCCCCTGTTAGTTTGTTGGTTTGTCTGTCCACAGGATGTCTTAAAATATTTTTTGGATGAGTAGGTATTGGGCCAACGACCATACGATTAGATTTTGGTGGTGATCCGGATTTTTTTTTTTGGTGGAGAAGACCTCGGATGCATTCAAAATTCATTAAAAAAATCCGGGATCTTTTTTTTTAAATTTCTGAAAATGCCATCAAACTATATTAGGTGTACCAGCAAGATGGGGGGGGGGACTATTACGTCACTGTGGCAAAGGTTTGCTATCTCCGATTGCTCTTGTTTTATTATTAATATGAGTCCATATGTTACTACGTTGATAAAATATATATATATAAAGAGAGAGAATCTAGAAGATTCTATATTCTTTTAATATTAATTGGAGTCCGTGTGTTTCTACGTTGACAATATATATATATATATATATATAATACAGGATATCTGATTGCTCTTGTTGTAAATATGATCAAGCCTATATTGAACCAGCTTGAATGATTGTAAATACATTTTTTTCGGTGGTCCTCACTACGATTTTGTCAGAACGGTTGTGCTAGTTTCTCGCAGCCGATCTTATGCTCCACATTCACCAAACGCTTGACCCCTGCCAACATTTCTTTAACCAGCCTGTCCTGAAATTAACACGCACGCACGCACACGCATACAAACACGAACGTACTTACACTGGCACACCCGCACACAGAAATACACGCGCGTGCACACAAGCACGCACGCACATTCGCGCGCACACGCATGACCCGTCGTCTGGGTTATTTTATTCGCAATGTCGGTTTTGTTCAGGATGGATAGATACACAAGATAGTTTAAGCATAAACAAATTCATGCCGCCCGTCTTTCCCGGTTGAGTGTTGGGCTAAATCCATTCTGTGTTTTTATTTGCCATTCATGGTTGTAAAAGGGTAGTAGTTGGAGAGGGAAATATGTGAACCGTACGCATCTGCGTAAGAACGCATTCACAGACATACACCCGTACGCCACGCTTATATGTAGCATAAGTGAACAGTGCTGAGTTATTCGATTATTTGTCATAATTTTTGTTGTTGATGTTTTCTCCATTCATTGCTACCTTCTTGCATGGTTATAGATTCCCTAGTTACTTTCTCATGCCAGCCGTTGCCAAACACGCCAGCGTTTTCACGCGTTACACATCACCTATAGGTATAGCATCGGCATCTAGTTTTTTGTTAGTTGGTTTAGCCAAAAATGTATTTCCGTATGTTAACGGATAGTCGGATGTAAATTCAGGTCTTCACTTGGCACATTTAAAAAAAACTGTTAAATATTTTTAGCAACATATAGCAGATAGGATAATAATGAATTTATTATGTATTTTGAATTGATATATATATATATATATACCGGATTTTACCAAGCACACACTGTCAGCCTGCCCGGCTCCAGTTTGAACGTACAAATACGGCCGATTACGGTATACTTCTGCCATTGCCACCATAGCACATAATGCAGCCCTACCAGGTACAGCCTCTGACGGATGGGGGCTGCGAGCGGGTGGGTGGGGATGACGTCGCCTTGTGAGGCAGTGGCGACAACGGGGGGCTCAACTTGCGAGGCTCGTGTCGCTGTGCGAGCGTTGCACCGCCTGGTGGCTGGTAGGCTTAAGACCCCCGCATAGTCATGATCTTCCTGAAACAATAGACAAGTCGGCGTTCACGGGTAATGCTATCCCCCGGGCGTGGAGGGAGGTGACCGCAACGTGGCAGCACTAGTGTTAGAATAGTGTTAGAATAGTGTTAGGATTAGGGTTAGGGTCAGGATTAGGGTTAGGGTTAGGATTAGGGTTAGGGTTAGGATTAGGGTTAGGGTTAGGATTAGGGTTAGGGTTTTTGCATCATGATATCTGTCCCCACACCATAGATTAATTTTTGTGGATAACACTGCCTATATATAGCGCGGCGACACATATATATTTAGTGTGAAGGTTAGTGTTGGCGGTGTTGGAGTGAGTGTTAACGTTAGGGTTAACGTTTTGAACGTCATCGTCAACGTTATCACGTGACCTCCCTCCACGCCCGGGGGGCGAAATTTTTTTTCCCACGAGAGTTCCGGACCCACCACAGATAGTGTTTTGTAATATATGGTGCGTATATAAGACAAACCTGGTTGTATTATAGTTAGTGTTAGGGTTCGGGTTCGGGTTCGGGTTCGGGTTCGGGTTCGGGTTCGGGTTAGGGTTAGGTTTAGGGTTAGTGTTAGGTTGTATAAATTTTACATTGTTGCTTCGAGGTAGTCGAGTGAATGGAGTGCGCTGATTGGCTGGGGTCCGGAACTCTCGTGGGAAAAAAAATTTCGCGCCCGGGGGATAGCAACACCCGGCGTTCACATCGTGCGACGTACGCGCGCAGACGTCTTGGCGCATGTACGGACAGAACACGACACGAGCTGCGTGCCACTGCCGCATGCGTTCGATATTTATCCGCTGAATGCTAACAGGCTAAGCTCCTTCTGCTCAAACATTGTGGCATCCTTGTGGCATCTAACTACTTTACACAATAGATAGGCCTGCTATAGATTGCGCGATATCAAATCTATTTGGAGGTGGTTGCAAGTGCCTGTGATGTAAGGTGAAATTCTCGTGGACACCCGAACAGGTTTGCGAATTCACTGAAATCTATTCGGAAGGACAGCACACTACTCTAACCCTCCTTATCCTGACGAGTTCACTATCTGAGCCGCAAGAGAAAGCGCAGGGGCAGAGGCGCGTGTATGTGTGTATTTGTGTGTGTGTGTGTGTGTGTTGGAGCATGTGTGATTGGGATGTCGTGTGGGTGAGGGCTGGTGGTGTTGTCGGTGGTGTCATGTGGTGTGTGGTGTGTGTGTGTGTGTTGTGTGCTGTGTGATGTGACTGTGGTGTGCGGGTGATGTGGTGCGCTGTGTGATGGTGTGTGTGTGTGTGTGGTTGTGAGAGCGACTCAGGGGCCGTACGCAGCACGGGCAGTTGCCCCCCCCCCTCAGAGATTTTCAGAGTATGCCTTTTAATGCGGACAAATTACTGTACACTTTTAGAAACTAAAATAGAAAATGGTGACAAAAGGTTAATTTAAGATCATCAAAGAAATATTACTTTAAATAAAGAAATGTGAAAATCGAAACTTTAGCGGCACAGGCGGGCCATGGGGAGATCTTTGCCCCCGACAGAAATCCTAGCGTACGCCTTTGTGTGACTGCGCCCGTGTGTGTGCGTGTGTGTGTGCGTGCGTGCGTGCGTGCGTGCGTGCGTGCGTGTGTGTTGTGTGCGTGCGTGTGTGTGTGTGTGTGTGTGTGTCACCTCTGTGTGCGTGCGTGCACGAGTGAGCGTGCAAGCGCGCACGCATGTGCGTCTGCGTGTGTGTGCGCATGCGTGCATGCGTGCACGTATGTGCGTCTGTGTGCGTGAAAGCGCGCACGCATGTGCGTCTGCGTGTGTGTGCGCATGCGTGCACGTATGTGCGTCTGTGTGCGTGCGCGCGCGTGTGTGTGCTACTGGGTGGAGATGGGGGTATAGGGGCGATGAAGGTAAATTAACTAGCTATGTTGATACCCTCTATACTAACCTCCATTGCCTGAATCACGCACATAATACGCACGATCGCTTTACAGACGCAGCGCGTCTGTGCTCGAGTGGCGCGCGCTCACTATTCGCCACGTAAACGCCACTTGAGAATTACGCGCGTGTGAGAATTTGTACCGACGCATCGACATTGAGTTTAGGCATAGAGGTGGCGCGCAAATCGTGAGCAGCAGACAGCGGCGCCGAGCCTATCGTCAAGCTGTCGCCCGTCTTGTGCACGTCGCGCAGCTCAATCCCCTAGTGACCACACACAGAAACAGGCGGTGAGTGTGCGTGAGGAGCGCTTCGCACATCGTAGGTCAGTACATAGATATATTATGGCAATCAACACATGGATTGCTGACTCCCTCGCACATCCGGTTGATGCGGCGTTTGAAGGGGGCGTTACAGAAGTAGGTACTCGCCACTTCCGGCATGTAGTGTGTCAATGTCTTCTTCTATGCAGTGCTGGCAGTTTTACTCGCGAGTCTCATAACATCATACTTTTCGGTTATATATTTTGCTTTAGCCTAGTCATTGACCGTGCTATATACAATTTTCTCAAGGCATTTTGAGGAAAGCTGCTTTTCGTCAGGTATATATGGCTAGTCTTTTTGTAGTTTATATTTGTTAATTATTCGCTCCGCCTCTGTATATTTGCTTTTTTTATTAGTTCTAATATTAGTAACTAAATACTTTGATACCCGAATATATAATATATTTCTAACCATTTTCTGATTATATCGATAGGTTGAAAACTCTAAGGTACTAATAGGGCTAATAGTAATTTGCGAAATTTGTGTAATCTTTAAAAAGACATATATATACAGATAGTCCAGCTGTAGAGCACCTAACGTGGTTTTGGCGTCCCCACAAAGTTTTTTTGCGGATTTTATACCTTTGAGGGGTGCTGATTGAGAATCCGGATGATGCCGGTCTGGTACCCTTGGGCATTTTGCGTAATATGCAAATCAAGGCGGCCATTACTAAAATTTCATTATTTGGCCATAACTCGCTTATTTGAAAAGATAAACGTATGATTTTTGTGTCTACCCCTAGGTTTTTAGGGTCTCTGATTCAGATTAGGCCAAAGCCAAAATGATTTGCTCATTTGCATATCCATAATATGTAAATTAGGGCGGCCATTACCAAAATTTCATTTTTGGCCCGCAACACGCTTATTATAAAGGATGACAAAGCAAATGTGGTGTCTACTTTAAGGTTCTCAGAGTATCTGATTCTGATTAGACNTAACATTTTCCCTGAACGCCTCACTCGTTGGTGGTATCGATTTCAGATGTGGGGCAGCAGTGATGTTTTTCTTTCCCATTTTCCTTGACCAGAGATCAACTCGAATTTGCGACAAGTCATTTATTTCTTTGCTGCCATAGCAAGCGCCGATGAACTTTGTGGCTTCAGCAATAACATCATCCAATGATAAGTGAAGATCCCCCAAATGTTTAAATGTGAGCCCTTCTTTCAGCTTGTTGATGACGGTGCCTTTTCCAATTTCATGCAGCTTGGCAACCGAGTCACAGCCAGTAAGTCCATGGGTAGCCAAACGATGTGGCACAATGTCTTTACTCTTTTTCACTGAGGCCTGTATATCAACTGAGACCCTCTCGGAGCTGGTGGCTTCCATTATCAGGGAACATTTCACATTCTGTTGGTTGCAAAAATGCATTAACAGAACGAAGACATCAGTATCATCGCAAATGACTTTGATGCCGTGCACTCCTCCCTGGTTGTGGGCAACGTGCAGTATCTGGTGTACCATTGTAACGTCAGCTTCCTCGTGGGTTGTCCGTAGGTCAGCACGATTACTCTGATGTCCACAGAACAGTTCGATTGGAATCGGTTCACGGCCAGATAC